GGGGAGGGGAGACAGAGGGAGATGTGGAGGAGGAGGAGCAGGAGGAGGCGGAGGACGAATTGGGAAACACACCCGGCAGTTGGGGTTGCAGTCGTGGTTGACAAAGCGTGCGGGTCCGAGGAACAGGCAGTTTGCGCCCTTGCTGGTACTGAACATGACCGAGAAGTCTCGCTGGTCGCTGTCCGTCAGACGGCGCTCCTCCTGGGTGGTCAGCCGGGCGACATACCCAGCACAGAGGAGGATCTGATCCCCAGGGTTCCAGGACTTGATCGACCGGACGCAAACCTCCTGCTTGCCGGAGCGATAGCGATCCGTGACGGCCACCTCGAAGCCGGCCGTCGGGAGGAACATGCTGAGGTAGCGCTTCATGTGACTGGCGGGGGGGTCGTGGGGGAGTAGGTGGATCGGCCTCCGGCGACCACCAGCTGGCAGATGGCCGTGTGGGGAAGGGGCGAGGGAGGGCGAGGGAGAGAGAGAGAGAGAGAGACAGAGAGAAAGCGATGGACAAGGGGGAGGTTGTGCCGAGGAAGGAGCGGGGGACATACTCCTTGAAGCCAATGCGGTCCTCCGGCGCCAAGCGCTGCCAGAAGGGTTGAGCGAGCTTTTCCGGGCCGGAGAGGATCTCAAGGTCCATTGGCGAGGCCAGGGCCGGGTTGGTTTCCTGGCCGAATTGCTCGGCCTCGACACCGAGAATCAACTCGTAGAAGGCTCGCTCCAGGTCCCGGTGGAGGACCAGACGGCGGACCACGGCGATGGCCCGGACTCGATCGACCGTCTTCGACCGGTACCGGGGGCTGGCTTTGTGCACGGAAATGCCGAGCAGCGGATCGGTCAGCAGGTTGTTGCACAGGTCATCATAGGCGACCAGCTGCCGGAAGGTGAGCTCCGGCCGGGACATGGCTGGCCAGGGAGGAAGGGCCGATCCGCGTTCCGGCGGATCGCACGAGGGGGAGGGAGAAGGAGGAGGAGAAGGAAGAGGGAAAGGGCGGGGAGGGGGGGGGGGGGG